TGTTTCCGACAAAAGATTCAGATACAATTATTTGTTGAAGCTAAAACAGACAATTCTGGAATAAATACAAACTCAAATTCCCAATCTCTCTGTCCATTTCTTTCTTTTCTTTTTTAAACTCCAATTACCGGAGCCAGCACTGTGGCCCAGTGGATGGGGCCCATTGCATGATACTGGTATTCCATCTTGGCGTGTTGGCTTGAAAGCCAGTTTCTTCACTACTGCCTGGCAAAGCAGAAGATGATGACCCAAGTGCCTTGGTGCCTGCCTGGCTTTGGCCTGACACAAATGTGGCTGTTGTGGTCATGTGGGGGATGAAGCAGAGGATGAAAGATAACTCTCTCATCCTTCTCTCTTTCTATTGCTCTTGCTTTTAAATGAATGAGTGATTCAATAGTTTTCTTAAACTAATTACTTATTAGATACTGTATGGCATTTCAGATCTCGAAAAGAAAATACTGTAGAGAAATTATTTGCTCAGTCCTGGCAGGCTGCTGAGTAAACTCTTGTGTTGAAATGGCTAAGAACTAGTCCTCAGAAGAGTTCACCAGATGAATGGACAATCACAGAAAAAAAAACTCAAAACAGACAGAATCTGTACCACCAATTAGAGCTGGATGTAACTGACACCTGTAGATTGTGTCATCAATAACCACAGAGTGACATTATTCTCAAACTCATACATGTGTATACCAAAATGGAACAGATTCTAACCCTAAAATATATTTAACAAGTTTAAAAGGAGAGAAATCAAATTATGCTTGTTCTTAGACCACAACCGATTTAAACTTTAAATGACTGACAGAAAGGTAATGGGAAAAAACATCAAAACATATGGACATTAGATGTTCTACTTCCAAATAGCACACGGATCATTCAAGAAGAATATATAACAAGAGGAGTTAAAAAAAATATTTTAACTACAATTGGGACCACTACCTATCGTAATTTGTAGGATGCAGTAAAAGTTAGAGCTTGGAGAGAACTTTACAGCATTGGGTTCATATGTATGAAAAATCTAAAACAAGCATCTAAGATGCTACCTGGGGAAACTGAAAAAAAGAAAGCAAATTAAATTCCGAAAAAAGCATAAGAAATAATTTTAAAAAATAAAGCATAAGGCAATGAAACTGAAAACAGGAAATCAACAGAGCAAATGAACAAAACCAAATACTGATTTTGTGAATATATCAATACGAGTTATGCAAGACTCTTGCCAGGTTAATTTAAAAAATGAGAGGAAACATAATTTACTAATATCAGAAATCAATGAGGGTATCATAACAGAGTTTATCCATACTAAACAGATTATAAATAAAAACAATAGAAAAGTCTATGCCCACAAATTTGATAACCTAGATGAAATTGATCAATTCCTTGAAAGATAAAACTGCCATATTTCACCTAAAAAAATCTTAAAGTTAGTGGGCCTATAACTTTAGGAACTTGGATCAGTAATTAAGAATCTTTTTTTTTTAAGATTTATTTATTTATTTTATTACAAAGTCAGATATACAGAGAGGAGGAGAGACAGAGAGGAAGATCTTCCATCCTATGATTCACTCCCCAAGTGAGCGCAACGGCCGGTGCTGCAACGGTCTGAAGCCAGGATCCAGGAACTCCTTCTGGGTATCCCACACGGGTGCAGGGTCCCAAAACATTGGGCCATCCTCCACTGCTTTCCAAGGCCACAAGCAGGGAGCGGGATGGGAAGTGGGGCTGCCGGGATAGAACCGGAGCCCATGTGGGATCCCCATGTGGGATCCCTGTGCGTTCAAGGTGAGGACTTTAGCCACTAGGCCACGCCGCTGGGCCCAGTAATTAAGAATCTTAACAGAGGAAAAGCACCAGGCCTGTGTTATACTAGTGAATTCGACAAAACACTGAAGGAGGGAGAAGTTATATCAACCCTCAACATTTCTTAAAAAAAAAATTCCAAAATTATTAACAATAAAAAATAAACTACTAGAACTAAAAAAATTATTATAGCAAAGTTACAGAATATAAAATAAATATGTAAAAATGGTTACTTCTCTATCTACCAGTAATGAGCACTAAAATAAAAATAAAATACCATTTTAGGAAAGGGAACTACTAAGATGAAATAATCATGATGAATCTAATAGCATATGTGCCTGGTCTACACAAATTTCATGGAAAACACATATTCTAAAAATCATATATGGATGTTAATGATTTTTTTTTTACAAAATAAACATCTTTTAGTTTCACTTTCTTTGAGCTTTTTGAAGTATCCCTGTACATAAAAAAAACCCTACAAAACTGAACTCAAGAAATAAAATATCTAAATAAACGAAAAGATATAAGACAGTTTCCAAAAAGATGGTGGAAAATGGAATTAAAGGATAAAATGAATTTTTCATGAACTCTTAAAAGCTCTCATATATTCCATACTTATGCATAGAAAGATCCCAAACTGTCAAAATGTCAGTTCTTACCAACTTGATGTACAGAATTCAATGTCATCGCAATCAAATTCCAAGAAAGTTATTTTTATAGTTATCAAGAAAATGATGTTCAGGTTTACATGAAGGGAAACAGTGCCAAATTAGTTGATATAATATTGAAGAAGAGAAAGTTGAATGACTGATTCTGACTTCATGAACAAGTACAGTACCGATAATCAGTGCATCTTAATCAACAGCCAGAAATAGATCCACATGATATTAGAGAAAGAACAAAGGCAATACTACATCACTAAAACACTCGTTTCTACAAATGGTGCGGGAATAATTGGATTTTCAGTCACAAAAATAAAATAAGTCTAGGTATAGATATACCTTTCAGGATCTGAAACCAAAAGCAAATTATAGATCTAAACACATAATTTTAAAATTCCTAGAAGAAAATTTAGAAAAAAAATTTAGATGACATTGTGATGGCTATGGCATCTTAGATAAAACACCACTGGTGTGAATCATAAAAGAAATAATGGATAAGTTCTATTTTGTTAAAATTAAAAATGTGAAAGATAGTGTTAAGAGAATGAAAAAAAAAAACCCCAAAATTCGAGAAAATTAGCAAAATGCCAGGATTATCTAAAATACTCAAAGAACACTTAGAACTCAACAATAAGAAAAGGAACAAATTAACAAATAAACAAAAGATCTTAAGGAGATCTCATCAAAGGTGATAAACAGTTGGCAAATTAGAACACAGATGATGTGCTGGAGCCTGGCACAGTAGCCTAGTGCCTCATCCTCATCTTGTGTGCTCCGGGATTCTATATGGGCACTGGTTCTTGTTCTGGCCACTCTACTTCCCATCCATCTCCCTGCTTGTGGCCTGGGAAAGCAGTGAAGGATGGTCCAAAGCTTTGGAACCCTGCACCTGCATGGGAGACGCAGACCAAGTTCCTGGCTCCTGGTTTTCAATCATTTCAGCTCTGGCCAATGTGGCCACTTGGAGAGTGAACCAGCAAATGGAAGATCTTTCTTTTTATCTCTCTTCTCTGTATACCTGCCTTTCCAATAAAAATAAATAAATCTTAAAAAAAAACAGATGTGCCAATTGCAAATGTAACCACAATATGATATTACTATATGCCTATTAGAATGATCAAAATCTAGAATATGAAACTATGAAATGCATGGACTAACATGAACCTTGCTGGTGGAAATGCAAAATGGTCTATCCCATTTGGGAACAGTGTAGTGCTATTTTATACAACACATCATATTGTTTCACACAAGTAAACAATTTCAGTCTGTTTATGAGAAAAAAGTACAACATAATTTATACAGATATCTGAATCTATAGGCTTACAACAGATTTATTCATAACTGCCTAAACTTGGAAGCAACCAAGATGTCTTTTTTTGGTAACTGAATGTTACGAACTATGATAATCCAAACATCAGATGATTATTCAGCACTACAAATAAATTAGCTATCAAGCCATGAAAGTATACAACTTATACTTGCATGGAAATTTCTAAGTGAAGGAATCCAATCTGAAAAACCAACATACTGTATGGTTTCAATGACATGTATGGCATCCCAGAGAAGGCAGAACTACGGAAAGCCCAAAGATCAGTGGTGTCCTGGGACTTGGTGTGCGGAGAGGATGAACAGATGAGTGCGGGGGCTTCTCAAGCCAGTGAAACCCCTGGCTGATGTTATCATGGTAGTCAGATCCCTTTATCCACTTGTCCGAAGTGTGGACTCTATTAAACTGTGCAGCAATATTGATTTATAAATGCAGATTCTTCAGTTATAAGAAATGTGCTCCTCTGTTGAGGCATTCATATAGGTGGGGTAATGCCATGTGCCGGAGCAGGAAACATACGGAAAACCTTTCCCTCTTCTTCTAAAAGATACACCCAATTTTGTATTTTGAATTAAAAAAAAAAGCTTTTTAAAAAAGAATGGAAAAGAGTATTAACATCAGTTAAGTTGAAAAACTCAAATTTTCCCCAGTCTCCTATAGCTTTGTCATTGCCAACACCAGCTCAGCATCACCAGGGGCTGGGAGTAGGTACAAAGTGGAGAGTTGGACCGCTCAGGTCTTTTCCCTTCAGTATCTTGTTTAAGAAGGACATTAACATTTGTAGAAGAGCACCAAGTGTTGCTAAGCATTCTTTACACGTGTAATCTCATTACATCTCCTCATTCCATTTACACGTGTTCTCCTATTTAATTTTTGCAACTCCACATTCCGATATCTAGTTTACATTTGACAGATGGAGGCATTTCATCTCAGAGCTGCTAAGTAATTTCCTTAATATTATGTAACTAATGAGTGGAAAGCCAAGATGAACACAAATGGAGCAGTTCAAATTTTGATTAGAGGAGCAAGTACATGTAGGTTTGCATACTGTCTCAAAGTCCTCCCGTAGCATTATCTAAACTTTCACTAATAAAGGAATGAACGCGGTCTGAGTTCCATCCCGTGGTTCACAGCTTCACTCCTCATTGCCTCAACAACTACATCAAAGCTGGAGCACAGAACTCCACAGAGAGCTAAAGAAAGAACCGAACCTTTGTGCTGTTGCCAAACCACCAGAAATAGGTCAGGGTCCCCAGCTGACTGGGCCACACAATGGCGCTGATGTTGACTTCTTTATTTCTGATGGCAACAAACGGAACTCGGAGATGCACATGTTCCACAGGACCTAGAAGGATAGAAAATCAATGTTAATACTGACAGCCCTAGATCATAACTTAATCAAACTGCATCACACTTCCAGAATCTTGATTTGGATCCTTGTTACCAACTACCATGCTAAAGCACAGGTCACAAAGTCACAACAACTACTACTGTCTGTGTGTGTGTGTGTGACTTAAGCACCAGGTAAGGAGCTCAAACCAGATTCTAGATTCTTTGAGTGACATCTGTCTGAACTTAACCTACACTTGGAAAGTCCCAATGGGAATATTTATGCACTTTCAGACCAAGCACAAAATGAGTTTACTAGACACTTAGGGAACAAACAGCAAGATAAGCAGCAGTTTTTTTGCCATTCTGGTAATTAGCCAGTATTGAGAGTCAGGTCAAGGCATTGTAGGCAGGGCTCTTGCAGTCCTCTCAGCTGTTAATTGGCTTCCATCCTCTTTAAGGATGTTCCATTGTGTTCTGTCACCTGCAGCTACACTGCGGGGGGGGTCAGGCAGACTCTGAAAAGTCCATCTTAAAAAAGGAGAGGAGGGGAAAGGAGAAACAAATGCCAGTTTCCTAACTAATTAAAAAAAAAAAAGCTGTTTCTCTTTTCCTTCCTTGGAATAACAGGTATGGGTAAAATCAAGTTATAAACTAACAAGTAAAACTATTTGCATGGACACATCATATGCATAATAAGAATGCTGGTCCGTTTCATCTCCAAAATTAAATGAGAGGAGAAAAAAACTGGAGGGAATCCGTTACTGTTTCAGAGCTGCATTTGGGAAGCAGACAGTGAAACTCTGTGGGATTTTTCTACTCTCTTGCTACTTCTTAATTTCTCCCTTTCTTGCTTAGTTCTTTTCCTTCTCATCTTCCTTCCTTACTTCCCTTCCTTAAGTCCTTCTTAATTAACAAAGTACAATCAAAAAATCTTTGGTTGACACTGTTAGCTGACCCTTTCTTGTCTTCACCATGATGACTTTGACAGGTGCAGGGGGTCTGAAGAGCCTCTGCCTGAAGGTCTAAAGCCACAGCGGAAGCCAAGGCCCCTCTCTCCTGGGGGTCCTGACTTTGGGACGTGAGAGCGGGGCAGCTTTCAGGTTACTCAGCCTTCATTGCACTCCCTTGCTGGTTCTGGAGACAGCTCAGTGTGCAAAGTAGAGTGCCTGTCCTTCATGGTTTACCTGCTAGCTTACGTAGAACCAGGCAAGAGGAATGTACAGGCTCCAACGCAAAGAAATGGCACATGTTTAAGAAAATAAAAATTCTTATTACCCCTTGTTGATCATTACATACAATATACATGTAATTATCACACTACACTCCCGAACTACATACAATTTTAAAATGCCAATAATAAAAAGTGAAGGGAGGAAAACAGACGGACATTCCATATTTCAATTCCAGCACAATTTTGTCTCTACAGCATTTTCAAGATTTTATGTATTTCCATTTATTTATTTGAAAGAGAGAGACAGAGACAGAAAGCAATCTTCCATCCCTATTTTACTCCCCAAATGGGTTAAAACATTTGGGGATGGGGCAGCTGGGAGCCAGCAGCTTGGAACCCAATCTAGATCTACCATATCGAGGGGAGCAACTCAGCACTTCAGTCACCATCTCTGACTCTCAAATGTGTTAGCAGAACCCAAAAACACAAGTGGGGCCATGATGTGAACTCAGCTACTGCAACATGGGGTACAGAAGGGCCCCGGGTGAGATATAGACCAGTAGGTCAAATGCCTGCCACGGTTTATGATATTTTGTCATGTAGAACCTCAGTTCCACACATTATTATTATTATTATTAAAGATTTGTCTATTTTTATTGCAAAGTCAGATATACAAAGAGGAGGATAGACAGAGAGGAAGATCTTTATCCACTGATTCACTCCCCAAGTGACTGCAGTGGCCAAAGCTGAGCCAATCCAAAGCCAGGAGCCGGGAGCCTCTTCCAGGTCACCCACACGGATACAGGGTCGCAAGGCTTCGGGCCATCCTCAACTGCTTTCCCAGGCCACAAGCAGGGAGCTAATGGGAAGTGGGGCTGCTGGGATTAATACTGGCGCCCATATGGAATCCCAGCATGTTCAAGACAAGGACCTTAGCCACTAGGCCACCGTGCTAGGACCCTACACATATTATTCTGCTCTAAAAACAAAAAAATAAATAAGTGTTCTGCCTTCATTATAGCCACTAGTGAATCTATAATTTACTCATTATAGATGAGTAAAGAATCATCTTATTAATTACAGGTACTTTTCTATCACTTAACCATCCCCACAATATGCACACAAATCTACTGCCTTTTTTAATGGATATAATTCCTTCTGAAGAGAGTTCACATTTTTTGAGTCTCAATGGGCATATCTGCATAACAGGAAACTTCCTATTAGGCAAGATGCTTGGGCAAGGATTGCTATTTAGGTAGCAATTCTAACTAGAACAGACTACATTTTCCAAAACAATAAAGTAGGTTCAAGAATGTGTGTGTGTGTGTATATATATATACATATTTGTATATATGTATGTATATTTATGTGTGTATATATATATATGTTATGTGAAGTGAAATTAGCGAGGCACAGAAAAAAAGGCAAATAGTAGATGATCTCATTTATTTACAAGGTCACCAGATTTATTAATCATCATTGTGTTTCACTGATCGATGAGCAAGAGAATGAGGCTTTGGGGAAAGGGCTTCTCATTAACCCGTGTCCCAGAAGGGAGATGAGAGGGCCTTGTTTTTTCCACAAATTACAGATTCTTTTCTCCATGCCCAAGGTCCTTCCTCATCACAGCCGGAGCTGACCTTGCCAGGTGCTCTGCTACCCATGAAAGTCATAGAAAACCTTTCCCCAGACAACAGCAAATACAGAGGATGCCCAGGAACTGAAGCACCTGCAGACACAGTCACATCTACTCCGCTTCAGGGCAAGCATGTCAGGGGAACAACAATCTTGATCAACAACATCATGCAGCAACTTTTTAGGGGAATACTCTGAGCAGGAAACTTCACACTTCCACCTGGAGATGAGCTGTGGGTGACCAAGAGAGAGAGAGCTGAAGAGACTCAGGAAGACACACAGCGAAGCCCTAATAGCCTCTCTGGCAGATACCAGTCTTTTTGATAAAAATCTAATAATCTGTGTGATATTGGTTGTCATAAGTGGCTAACAACTACTTTGGTTAGCTAATGGCCCAAGGTGAAGAAGCCAAGAGCAGTTTCTATTGTAACTGTCTAGCATACACAGACATGATGGATTCGGGGAGAATTATGAGTACAATAAAAGTTTCAAGGAACATTTCCTCCTTCATGCATATAACCCACCATATAAACCCGTCCCTGGCTATTGTGGGGTTTTTTTTTTTTTTTGGCCACTGTGTTTCATTGGTCTTCATGCCTTGCAGCAAAGACCCACTCCCCAGTATAAATGGGGAACACGCCTGGGGAAAGTCCTTGGGATGGAGTAATGGGAAGCCCTTTTTCTTTCTCTGTCTTCATTTTTAAATGAAGTGGAAGTGTCAAGCAGAAAGTCCGACTAATTACTATAACAACAGGTACCATTCATCACAAGCCAGGCAGGTGCATGCGGTGCAGAGGAGTGCTACCACAGGGCTGAAGTTGCCATCCACAGGAAGGGCTGTGTGTGAGGCTGCACTTGGATTGACCCCTGGGACGTTGACTCAGGGAGTGCTTGCTGTCAGCAGCTAACCCACAAGTGCGCTTGTCTCATGTATGTTTGTGCTGAAAATTCTAGAAAGTTTGTCTACCTACCCCAGTTTTCACAGTGTAAATCTTTTCCCTTGGCACATTTTGCTCTTCATGCTTTCATAGGCATTTAGGCAACTATACGCTAAGCCTTGTGAATCCTTATGGTGAATTCAATGTCCCAGGGGGTTGGTTTTAGGAACTCTCTGAAACATGTATCTAATTTGACACTCAAAGATCCCCAATTATTATCTTAACAATAGAAACCTTGAAGTTGATACGTTGATAAGGAAACTGATCAATGCCAGATATTTAAAATAAGGATGTGATCAGCATCCGAGCACATGTCTTGGCTTGTGAAGGCCTGGCATGCTGCCCAAGTGGGCTGGCGACCTGATGCTTTGGGCATGCAATGATTGTATTTGGTGAACATGGTTCACCATTTTGCCTACTTATAGCCCACTTATGGCCATTCCCCCTCAGAAGGTAAACTTTATAATGGCAGGACTACAGTTACCTTGTCCCCTCACACATTTAAAAAATCATCATGAGCATGGCAGGGTAGCCTAGCGGCTAAGGTCCTCGTCTTTCACACACTGAGATATCTTATGGGTACAAGTTCTAATCCCGCACCTCCATTTCCCATCCAGTTCCCTGCTTGTGATGTGGGAAAGCAATCAAGGATGGCCCAAAACCTTGGGACCCTGCATCCACATGGGAGACCTGGAAGAGGCTCCCAGCTCCTGGCTTCAAATCAGCTCAGTTCTGGCCGTAGTGGCCACTTGGGGAATGAATCGGCAGATGAAGATCTTCCTCTCTGTCTCTCCTCTTCTCTGTATATCTGGCATTTCAGTAAAAACAAATAAATCTTAAAAAAAAAAAAAGAAACCATCATATATTTGTTGAATAAATTATGGAACAGTCATTTTTTTGGGGGGGTCATTTTTCTTTTCTGTAACAGTTCACTAAGGCAAAATCACAGAGTCTTAAACACAGAACACAACAAAGAATAATTCACCTCTGGGTTACAGACTGGCACTTTAGGCAAATGATGTGTTGATAGACTCCAGGTCTCCTCCCATACTTGGCCTTCACGGTTGGGCCCTGTACTGGCTCCAAGCTAGGAGATTGCCAAGAGCTTGTCAAGGCCCTCTTAGGTGTGGGTTGTTTCCCAGTGCAGGTTAAGCCATCACTCTATCGTTAAGAGCAAAGATGCTCCTTGCCTTCACAGAGACTTCCTAAAAAGTGATCATTCTCACCACATAGAGCATATTATTCAAAAATCATCATAGAGTATTGGCACTCCTTTTTGTTAGTTTTGCTTTCCATGATTTCATTAACCCACAGTCAACCATAGCTTACAAACTAGAAAATAGAAAATCTCAGTAACAAACAATCCATTAAGTTTACTGCATGCTGTTCTTAGTTGTGTTGTAAGATCTCATGCTATACTACCTTGAACACTTTGTCCAGTGTATCCATAATGCATATGTTACCTGCCCATTACTTTATAGCAGTAAAAAATAACATGACTTAGTACTATCCCTGAGCTCACATAACTGCTACAGGTCTTTATATATATTAATGCCACCACAGGACAAGGGTAAAAACTGTACATGTAAGAACATTAAGTCGTTAGTCCCTCGAATATCACCAATAAAGATGAGAACGCAGTTCAGCCATTTAATGACATGTTATTGATATTCCGTATCCCAAAGGCACAAAATTTTAGTTTCAATTGTCATGTGTCAAGTTTCAGGATGGTGAACATACAAAATGAGGGGTAGGGCTTCTGGTACAGTGGGGGACTCCCAGGGTGCATTCTGGGACATAGCAGATGACGGCTCAAGCTTGTGTTCCTTCGTCCCATGTGGGAGACAGTGATGGATCGCTGGGCTCCTGCATTTGGCCTGGTCCAGTCCTAGCCATCCCAGACATACAGGGATTGAACTAATAGATGGAAGATCTGTCTCTTAATTTGTTTCTTTCTCTTTCATGTCGATAGAAATAAACATTTAAAATATACAGTCCACATAAGCATACTGTCGCGCCCACGTTTCTTATCGTCCAGCGATAAGAGGCAGACGCGAGTGAAGTCTTCTGCGGTAATCTTTATTGCGCGCACCAAGATGAGGAGGGAAAGGGCTCCGACCCCGGCAGGCTGTCTGCTGTTATGTGCTGACTGGCCCCGCCTCTGCCGATGATAGGTCGGCGTCATGATTACGCAGGGTCCTGGGCGACTGGATTCGTCAGTCCCAGTGTTCATGCACCGGCCACGCCTCAGCTCACCGCGCATGCGCTAGGTGCCTGCGCAGTACCGCGAAACCAAGGTGTGGCTTTTCCGGCCGGCGCCATTTTGGGTACGGCATGTGGCCAGTACATGCAAATGCGGCTGGCAACAGCATACTATTTCAGAATTTTAGCTCTTGTTTCAGTTTGTGCCAAGGATTGTCCAAAAATGATGGTTCTAATTACAACCAATAAATTTGAAGAGTTCTTGCCATTGTTTACAACACAATGCACTTGCTGTAACCTTGGTTACAGGTATTAGGTTATTTTGTGTGCTTTCAGTTCCACATGTAAAACATTCTAAATATGTGGTTATTTAATCCTTCCTCAGATCTTCCAACAGTGATAATGATTCTTTGATTTGTGTTATGAAAACAAGACTAGGACCACCAACTACAAGAGTTTCTACTTGTTACAATTTTAGGATTCTCCAAAGCAAATAGGAGAGGTGTCTGCCTGATCAGGTGTCTGCATACCCGTTGCAATAGAACAGTGCTAAAAACAGCTTGATCAGTAATGTGTTAGGCAAACTTTCCAATAATCCATCTATTTTAGCATCAGTAAACTCTGAGACACAGATGAGTTTTTCGAGTTGGGATACTAGAGTGGTCATACTGAACTTGACCTCTGTGTCCAATTCCAGTAAGCCTGGACAGAGGGTATAAAGAAGTGCGAGGAAGTGAAGATGGAATGGTTCACACTACTTACAAACCACATGCAGGAAGAGGACAGCTGTGTCTGAGCCCAGGTTGTTCTCTGCATAGGCTGTCACTTGGAAGATGCCTGCACTCTTATACACATGCTTGATGCCATCCTCAATGGGACTGAAGTTGGCATAGGACACGGCAATCCCATCCCCAAAGTCAAGCTGGATGTTCGTCCTTTGCAGATCACCCTGCAACAGGAAGCAGCAGTTGGCCTGGGGTTATTCACATGGTCCAGTCTGATTCCTGGTGCTTCAGGATCCTCTCCTCTGGACTTACAAGTTCACCCAGAGGGCTAAAATACCTTACATACAAACTTAAAGTTTTTACCTGACACCCATCACATACTACGGCAGGCACAAGGGGCTGTTGTCTTCCCTGTATGCCCAAACTGGAACAACCCGAGTCACTGTGACTCCAGCAAAAGCAAAGTTATTGATAGGAAAAGTCATGAGCTTCACTGTCTCCCTCATATCTGGTTAAATCCTTACTCTTTATGGTTGATATAAGAGTCATAACAGCGATAGTTCAGAATCAAGCAGTATCTTCACAGTTCAGAATTACAGAGGATAATATTATTCTCACTTTACAAATGAGAAAAAAACAGCAGTAGGCCACTGCAGTAGCTAGCAGCAGAAGACAACTTTCAGACACAAGGTGATTTTCCACTGGGGTTTCTGACCTCAGTGCTATGGTTGTGGTGGCCCCTGTCTTAGAGTATTTATTACAACGTCCCAAGAACTATGCTAACCACCTAACACAAATCAGAGCACTTTAAAACGACTTGTGGAAAATGGAATTAGAAGACAAGTTTGTTTTGGGGACCAACATTTTTGAAATCCTTCAAAGATCTTCAAACAGGTCCATGAACATTGTGTACAACAAAAACATTGTATATCCATTGCCAAACATGTATTCTCCAAATTAAAATTTACATCTTAATTCCATTTTCCATGGACCTTCTGAAGTCTGCCTATATTGCATAATGCCACCTCCAAATAGTAATACATGATTGTAGGATTATTCCTATTCCACAGATATATATCGCATGCATGCATCTAAATTTCATCTCTGTTGTCTTGTTAAGAGCTTCCTTGGTCTATCCCCTTCTTCCTTGAAGCCTCTTTTGATCATCCCAACTGACAGATAACTCTGCCTTTTGAAAGTCACGGAGCTCCTTAGGCTTTGCCTGGTGGAAGGACGTGAATGGTTCAGCTGAACACACCTTAATACTTCACACCGAAGTGTCTTAACAGCCATTGTTAGATAAACTCCATCCTCCCTGTCCCTCTTCCCATTCTATTGGGCCAACAATTTAGATTAATGCAATGAACTTGATCTTGAAACAAAGACACTGGACGAAGAATAAGCACTCCCTGCTCACGGACAAAGATGGAGAATAGATTAGAGAGAAAGACATCCCTTTGGAATTATGAGCCAATCCTTCTGCACCGTGAAGTGTACCAATCACAGTTTCACTTTTCATCTCCTTCTCCATGGCAACCCTGCTGTGAGTGAAATATTGATAGGTGTTTTCTTGCCCCCCACACAATGTCAACTACCCTTGAGTTTATGAATATAAATTAAAGTGGAAATGAACTAGATGTAATTCAAATGGATAAGATCATGGTTCTTCATATCCATTCAGGAGAAGGCTTTTAGAGCCTTGGTCCTTGAAACTCCCTAAGTGGAAATGTGATAATGACCCCCCGGAATCTTTAAGTTGTGTAATTCAAACACCTGGTGTCAGTGAAGGCTGAGGAATCTGTCAACCCAGGATAAGGAACCTTCACTGTCCTGTCCGGTGTGGTCTTGACTTGAAAGGTTTCTGAAATGCTCATACTAGTGGAAAAAAATAAAAGCCTCCTGGCCAGCTTTGTTCCTGGGGGAATTTTAAGAGCACAGAGCAATTTGCATACAAATTTGTCCATCAGGCAAGCCTCGCAGCTCCAGGACTTCAGTCAGTCAGGAGGCTCTGAAATATTCCTGGTTGGGGAAGCAAGGAGCAGAAGCAGACATGAGAGCTATTTCCATCCTAAAATGCATGGACACAGTCTGATTTTACTGTCCAAATTGCAGAAGACACTGAAAAGACACTAAAAAGTGAACTAATGAAGCAGGTAGCTGATGGAAAAGCAACTAATAAAATATTCTTTACAAAGTTTAAAACATTTCATAATTTCCCCCTTCCCTCTGTTCTTACTTTCAAGACCTTTTCAGCTTTGTGGGGATCGTCAAAATAGTGGGATTAGGGTTAGGTTAAACCAAATGAGGTTGTAAAAACACAACCGATGAAATATGGATTTATTTTTTTTGGATAAGCTTTCACAGAACTTAAAGAAAACCTTAAATATATCCATAACTTCATGCCCAGAGACAAATATGGTCCCCATTGCGGACTGGGATGAATGGATCATAGTCCCTAAATGCCCTTGGCTTTCTCATCCCTGGCTGTCTACTGTCCCAAAGTCCAAGTTTCTTGCCATTGCCATTCCTGTAGTGCTCTGTGGGAACACAAGATCTTTCTTGTCTTCCCTGTGTAGAAAAAGGAGGTGGCTGGCTTGTTGTGAATTCTGACCTCAGAGACCCACATGAGCACCTACCTCTTCCATGAGAATGATGAAAGTTGCATTGTGTCCCTGCTCTGCCACCAGGCGCCCATCAGTCGTCACCACATGGAGGCCCCGAGGAGCTTTTCCAGGGCACAGCTGGGCCTTGGCAGTATATTTGTCCCGGAGTCCATCTGTGCAATTGTTGGATACGATCCTCCTGTACCTGAAGAGAATTGACAATCAACAGTGGTGTTTTTTGTACTGTGTGTGTGTGTGTGTGTGTGTGTGTGAAGAGTACAAGACAGCAAGAATAAGACTGACACTACATCCAGCTGCCCCCAAAAGCCAAATCTAAAAGAAGACTTTCATCTGTGAATCTAGACAAATGCTGAAGAGCTGTAATCCCTCCCCCCCTTCCTCGCCCCGTTCAGAAGAGCCATTCCTTACACATCATTATTGATCCTACCTGGGGAGCCACAGATCAGATCAGTGTCTAAAGCAGCCAAGAAAAATCAATGTCTGACTCACACGCAACAGAGGAGATGGCAGACTACTTGGGGGATTGCCAGGCGGTGGTAAGCAGGAAGAGAAGTGCTTTTGTATGTAAGCAAGGTCTTGATCTGTTTCCCTAGAGCTACCCCCAACTTTTTCAGTATCAGAAGGCAGGTAGAATATCAAACTTTCAAGTCTCACTAGCTAAGAGGCTTTCTTTCTGTCTTTTCTCCACCCCCAGGACATTAGTCCTTCTCCAAAATCTAACTGGGCTGTTGGAGCCACTGAGCTATCTCATAGGATATTTTCTCTTCTTAATAATATTTCGTTTCCTACTCAATTCAAACACCAGTGCAGAAGCACAAGCTTGATATTCATTCAATCCAATTGAAGAGGATTGAGGAGGTGGGCATGGAAATACTTTTCTACAAAATGCCAGGAGCTGTGACAATAGCATCATTGTGTAGAATGATTTCATTTCACCTTCTTGCTTACCAATCCCAGCATGGGAATTCAAGCCAAGAGTCTGCCTGCAGTCCCGGCCTGCGTGATCAACTTAATTTCCATCTGATAGCCTATAGTAATCAATGCTCTGCTAAAATTACAGTTAGTAAATAGAACATCACCACTAAGACCACCCTCATCATCACCATCACATCACGCTTTCTTTCATTCTCTATGTCAGGAATAATTATCCAAGCGAAGCATGTTGCCTTTGTCTCAAAGGACTTGAGGACAGAGATAGCCGAATTCCTCTAGAACGATATTGGTCCTACAGTACACCTGACAATGTCTCCTGGGGTGCCCACAGTACCCCCATTTAGAGATCTTAAAGGCCTATAAAGTTAATATGATAACTGTAGTTACTACCCGTAGTTACTGCTCAGATGAAATTACCATGTATCCTCTTGATGATACACAGCCTTCTACATTGACAGATTCTAACAAGAATGACACCATGCGTAAGGTCTTCCAAAAAATGAAGTCATCCCAATCCCAGATCTCCCCAGTCAGAAGCTGCACTGGAACAACAGCACCGGGTGATACATGGGACTATTCAAATTTGAGAAGTTCTTTCTTAAGCCACCCATCCACTTGGCAATTCTCTTGTAGGTCATGAGGGCTGCAGAGAAGAGCTGACACCACATCTCTTGGGAACCCTTATCAAGCATTTGTGAATGATGGTTAAATGGACAAAGAAAGAAGTATACATGTGATTGGAGAATTATTAGAAATGCGCATTATCCTGGGAGTTTCTTACATGCAAATTGTTCGATTTCCAGCATCGGTATCTTAGGGCATCAGGGCACACATCACTAGAGAGCCTCATGTGTGCATATCACTCATAATAGTTTCCTGTGCTTGAGGCCCAATAAACTAGGAAGCACCTATTTTAAGACAAAGCTTCCTAATCAAATAATGATAATGTCTATTAGAGGCAAATGGCAGAAGCACTGAAATCTGGCAACTGGAAAATCTTCGGATGTTCCTCAAAATGAGTATTTTCAATAAAGAGCTCATGTGTTCCCCAGAAGTCACCTGCCACAAACACACTGTATTCTCCATATTCTTCAATATTGTTATTCTCTAAATATATTTCTCTATATATCTATTTATCTCCGTCTACAATACTGCCCTCCTTAAATTCAACTACAGGGCAGTGGAAAAACTGTGAGTTTGCTCAGGTATTTCACTTACCCAGTGCTGTTAAGGTAGCTTTGGCCAAGGCTGCAATCCTTTGATGGGGACGCTGGATTATACCAGAAAGCCGGGACACACTGGCTTTCTCCATGTCTCTCATAGCCATAGTCACTGTCAGGAAAGAGAAATAATGATTTCCATGTGCCAATGCTAAAACATCCAGAAACACAGAGAAATTCACTTGTTCCTATTGCTATCTGAAGGGTTACAACACACATTGATTGAAATACCCTTAAGGTGGCAATTCATCTTACTCAAAAATGGATTTTTCTTCTGTATTTATTTGTGTATTTTAGAGAGAGTACATGAGTAAGAGTGAAAGCAAGAGATAGAAGAGAACGAGTGCATTGTCAAGAGACAAAAATTATGTGCAGGAGTCAAGTGGCACATCCAGGTAGTCCAACATAGGATGCAGGCATGTTAACCTCTGTCTTTATTACTAGGTCAAACTCATTTGCCTCTGTATTTTTAAAGTAGAAATGACATAAAATCATCCATATTCCAGCCTACAGAGAAAAAATGGTGAAAATTCTAGGCTTAAAAGGGTACATGTTAAAATGTGACAGGTGCATCACATTCAGGTAGGTGTCATGTGTGCTCAATGTTTAAAAGCTTATTTTGGATCATAACAATGTTTCTGAAACGAGTAAATGACAACTGAGATGACATCTTAAAGGTCAAGAGATTGAACAACATATTCAATATATGTTGTTTCAGAATTGATTTTAAAGATTGACATTTTCCCTACAAACTCAAACATAAATATGCATGTGCTTTCACATACACACAGCCATTCAAAGGTTTCTTTACACAACACGGACCGCTATTTCTCTAAACACTCTAAAACTAAAGGTTTTAGATCTCTAAAACTAAAAGGAAACTAAACTAACTGCAGCTCTTTCCTGTATTTCTGCAAATTCAAGCCATAATAAAATGAAGCGAAAAAAAAAAAAAGGCAGATATGATTCCCTTGTCCATCGTTCTCTACTGAAAAAAGAAAAGATCACAGAGCAATGTTGGAGAGGATGCCCCCATTCCAAGTCCAAGCAGTGCTTCCTACTTCTTGGAATCTTACAGACTTCCAGGTGTGTAATGTCGAGGTAGAAAAAAAAAAACCAATAAAGAGTATAAGAGGGATTGTTGATCTTGTAACCTGCCAGAGGTCACCGAGGGTGGCTTCTCTGGCAAGAGAATGCATGCTTCCAAGTCAAGCCTGTGCAAGCATCCCCTGAAAGCCACAGACTAGGAAGAATGGTCTAATGTTTGGATTTTGATCCACGGAATGTTAATGACGTACAAGACAGCAGGGGAAACCACTGATTCAGCACGCACCCTCCTTTCTCTTTCTGCTGCCACATCTGCTGAACCAAGATTTTGTGACAGTCAAATAAAAACACAGGCAAATTATTTAGATCTATATCTAGGATATGAATGCAGGAGAGATGGAGATAAAAATTTAATTCTGCATTTATTTTTCACTCAATATACACTCTTTCAGATAGAAGTGATATGACAAGTCCTTTCCTCAAGGGAATTTTCTGTTTTGGGGGGAGACAAGGATGACATACCACAAATTCATCTACCAAGAAGAATCATGCAAGAGGTAGCACATTAACAGTACAGTAAAGAAATGCCAAGTGGAATACATACACTTTCTACCCAGTTTGACTCCTACCCCACTTTCTCATCTTTCTTCCAACAAATCTCCCATCTGAGAGCTCCTGGCCAACACTTCCAGCTTCTTTATTTTTATGTTATGTTCTGGGCTTAAAACACTCTCCCTTTTGTATTTGATAATCTCCTATTCATTCTTCTTTAACATCAAGGTCATACAATGCTATTCCTGATTTCTCATACAAACTTTTGAGACCACCCTGAATTGGAAATTATAAAGTGGTGGCTACTAAAGAGTAGGAATCTTAGTATTACAACACTATACAAATCTACAACAGTGGCAGGACAGGGATGTTAATAATGATTTAAAGAGTGAACATTCCAATTGCATCAGAAAACAGTCATACTAAATGATCCATTGCATTGGTTATGTCTCTTTAGGAAGACTGGGAGCCCACAATTCATTGGTACAATAATGAGGACCACAGAGAGTATACCCCCTGGAGCTCATCAGAAACCTATGGAGTGAATACTAGCTCTGATGGACTACAAAGAGACCAGCTTTGACACGAATGTGCTTAAATGAAAGTGGAAGGAAGGAGAGACAGAGACATGTTGGCCAAGCAAATATTTTCCCAAGCCTCTTAATCAACTACAGATCTCCCAGTCTGACAGTTCCTAAGGACTCTGCTGCGCCAGCCTGAACAGCTTTTGTGAGCTGACTGGTACAATTTCAGAAATTCTGCATGTTAATTAGCAATTGTTGAAATTGGTATCACAATTAAATCACATGAAAATTTAATTATAAAAATTATGTTAAATGGGCAATGACTATCCCAAACACATTAATTCATAATTGCTGGATTTTATTATTACTATATAATATAGCCTATATTACACATAAATATTAAATTTTGATATTTTTATGCTCTTGAGATTACATACATCTATGTACCTGGATAGTGAGAATCATACATAGTATAGATTATTAGATGTTATTAGAATAATAACAACATAGAATGTGCTACCACCTGTGCCTTCCCAATTCTGCATTTCCTGAGGTTAGGCTGGTAACTTCAATTTTTCTAGATGGGGTACATGTCCAGCAATCAGCATTTATTTGTTTGTTCTTAGAGAACAGATAGTTAACTATTGCCAGCACACTTCCACCTCCTCAAACATTTTCTTTCTAAGGATTATTTGTCCTCAGAAACCCTAAGCCCTGGTGTGTCTGCACAAGTTACAGAAAATTCCTCATTGCTTTACGAGGTGAGCCTGATGAATGTCCTGTGCTCTCAGAAACACAGATATTTGTGAAAGACACATTTTCTCTGAGACAGCATTGGGAGGGAGAGAGATATTTTCATGTTCTCCACTAAAGGCAACCATATTTAGCAGCTCTACTTGGCCCTGCTACCCGCTGTAATAAAGGTGAATCAGGAATACTGTTGTGCCCCCAACGAGTAAGATCACCTTATTAGTATTTAACAGTATTTACAGAAACAGGCTGCCCTAATGTGCGGTCTCATTCATTAATTTCTGCTGAATGTATATTAAAACCATCAACATTCTTCCCCACTCCAAAGTCCGCATGGTTGAGAGAAGCCAGCAGATCCAGCTGCTGACCCAGCTTCCCAGGAATGGGATTTATCATGAATTGTGAGGAATGGATAGAACATACCAGAAGGTCTGATCTGCCTCAGGAAAGTGTACTGCCACAGAGTCTGCAAACCCACAGGCAGTTTCTTGCAAAAAGAAAGAAAAAAGTCACCTCTGTGGCTTTCTTGGCTATAAAGCTTCCAAGCTTCTAAAAGTTTAGCTGAAAATTTGGTCGTTTCCCAGGACCTGGCCCCATACAGGCAAAAGTCTTAGACCCTAAAAGAGCAGCAGGCAGGATGGTCTGCAAATCCAAATCCCTTTGAATACCAGAAAAGGAAAGAATACATACATTCCTCAGGTCTAATCTGCTCACGTGGTAGACTAAAAACAAAAAGCCGAAAGAGCAGATGTGACTTTCCAAGGACTACACAGCTCTCTGTGGTAAGAACTACTGTACAGCACGCGTGCATCACACAGGACACACAGCAGCCATCAGGGATGGGCCCCTGGCTGCCAGGGATGACATTTGACATTTCTTGGAGCAAAGAAGACGCATATTTCGTCTGGACATCCTGAAGGGCTGTCCAAATCTCAAGCTATGCACAGACCTCTTCTAGCCTCACGGATCGCATGCCTCTATCTTGTCATCTGGCAGTTCAGATTCTAAGACTAGTTCTGTACGGACAGTACAACATGATGGTGAGGCTGGGGTCAGCTGATGGAGCCTCAAAGAACACACAGCTTTGCTGTTGACAACCAAAGCAAGGGATTAACGATTCATGTGTTCAATACTTTGGCTTATGCATACAGCTATGGAGAAAATTAAATCCACACACACAGAAATCCACACAGAAAATTAAATCCAACCCATGTCAGAAATTGTTGCGAAAACTAAACTCAGCAATCATCCTTTGAATATTTCTCCTAACTCCTTGTACTCATTTGCCTGACGCCCCTAGCAACCAACAATCTTCTCATCTATCTGTTAGTCCCATGGCAATTACTCTGAAGGACCGCCTACCCATCCATGTACTTAGTATCAAGTCTGTGTTGCTCCATCAGTACTGCCTACAGGAAGCCTTCCTTGAGTGCCACAGCTCTCTGTGCTCTCTGCTCTATTTCCAGGGTTTCCTGCCAGGACCAGCACTGCTCAGTAACGTCCCATGATGATGGAAATGGTTTCTGTCTATGCTGGTTAATGCGGTAACTTCCCACCACTGACACTGAGGGACAGACACTTCAAGTTTCTTTCATTTTAATGCCAATAACCACATGCCACTACTGCCTCCTATAATAGACAGTATAGTTCTGGACCATAAAGTTCAGCACTTAATTATATTCTATTATTTTTGTTATCGCTTCTTTGAGTGCAATAACTCTAGTTTACACATCATTGACTTGTCCACTATAGAAAAAAGGAAGACATTCTTGTTGGCCTAATGCTAAAAACTTAATGGACTTCAAACCTACGTGAATTCACGTGCCACAGCACGCTGAAATCTCTTCCTGTCTTCAAACTCACGGAAGGATTTGTTCAGTGGTTCTGGCACCATGCTGGACATGGTTGGTAAGAACTAAGAGCTAAGTCTAAGGACTCCAGTCTCAAATTACTATCATCTTGAATGATCAACATATCATCTCCTTTTATTCATCTATAAAATGCTTCTGATAAATGACTGTCCTTCAGGCAGTTATCGAGAAGGCAAAATAATCTCCTTTAGGCTTAGTGTAATATCTGGTATAGAGCAGGTTCCCAGTAGAAGTCATACATGAGTGAACAGCGGTTGGATGGGTAAGAGTTTAACTTCTGCCCTGACCTGCTTTCTCAGCTACAAATGCATTTGGGTCTCCCAGAAGGTGACCCCTTCCAGAAGCCCTCATGTGACTCCAATCTTATGGTCTCTGTTTCTGACAATCCGCTCGTCTCTGACAACATCCGACTGCAGCAAGAATCCATCCCTGGCCTCCTCACCAGGGCCAGGATAGACGTTACTACACAGGTCTCTCTCTACTGTAAGCTTGGGGCTAGGGGATTTATGAAGCTCTTAAGTGGAAACATCGATATTTATGCAAAATTCATACTTATGACAGATACTCCAGTGAAAAGTAGAGAAAGCCAAAAGCATTCTACCAGTAAATGCTTCTGGGAATCTATAAAAGCTCAATTTTTTCAAGTGTTGGAGAGAGATGGGTGGAAATATCCTTCCTTTGAAAAGTCAGGTTACATTTCTCAATTCCTCCACCAAAGAGGAGGTATTCCCAATTGCCATTTCCTCCAGTACAAACAGATTAAACTAGGTTATAACCTCTCCCCGCTGTCTCTGAGACATAAACTTGGCCTGGACCAATCAAATGAGCACACTCTGATGTGGTTTAGGGAAACTATTAAGTAGAATGTGCGTGATAACTGCTGGCACTGACTAAGCTGGCATTCTCGATTCCTTGGTTATAGTGCTCCCTGGTAGGGAAGACCACTGGGAAGGGGACAAAGCTATGAAACTTGCCACATACTGACTTCTAACTTGAGCATTAGAAGACCACATCAATCTTCTGGAAATTTGCACTTCTCAAATAATACCTATGTTCCTGGAAGCTGACTTCAAAGTTTCTCAAGTTGTTCCACTGTCCTGCAAAACCATGGCAAATAGTCTAGAAATTTCAGAAATCAACAATTGCTTCATTCATACTTAGCAGTAGTGAAAAGGAGCCAGCAGGGTGAAACAGTAGTCTGGTTCTCTGCCTTAGGCACTGGCATCCCTATGAGCAGCAGTTCATGCCCAGGCTGCCCCACTCCTGATCCAGCAACCTGCATCACTACTCCTGAATGCGGTTATGAGCATGATTCAAGTCCTTGGGCACCTGAACCAATGTGCAAGATCTGGAAAAGCTTCTGATTCTTGGCTGTTTGAACCAGCCCAGCTCTGGTCATGGCAGCCATATGGGGAGAGAACAAATGAATAGAAGAGTTCTCTCTCTGCCTCTCCCTCTCTGTGTTTAATTCAGATTTTCAACTTAAAAATAGTGAAAAAAAATGTTTTTCAGTCATGTGGGTTTTTTGTTGTGGCTCTCGGGTTATGATCATAAGCATCTAGCTTTGTCTCTGTGCTGCTCTACTTCACACTCAAGGAAGTAGTCTACCTGCTTTTTAATACAAAGTGTGACTGGCCATCGAAATTCAGTATTCACCAATCAACAAAAAGTCCACAAAACTTTAATGATCACACCACTACTGCAATTCCACTACAACGGTCAAAACGACTTCATCTGATATTATTTCACAATTCATAAGACATTCCATGTTAAATTTCATCATTAGACAGTAAACCTAGGTCATCCGGGGATGGGTTCTAACTTTAGGATCATCTAAATTTGGAGACTATTTTTTGAAATGTACAGTGAATCTAAAATCATAACATCTTGCTTGATTTCTGAGACATGGCAAGATACAAGAAAGAGCAAAGAAAGAGGTTAGACCTACATTTGAACCAACCCCTCTCTGTTTTACAATCTTGGTCAAGTAATTTGGATCTAAAAGGTTCATTTTCTTCTCATTAGAATGGAACAGTAATGCTTTCAACATCACAGGTGGCACCTCTAACAGTGCAAGTGTGAGAATAACAGGGTGTTTGCAAGGTCTTCCTACCCCACCTTTACAGAGTAACTCTGGTAACAGTTCCCAAAGCAGGGTTTAGAAATAGGTTAAGCAATGCCAGCTTCATGAAGTAAATGGAAAACACCCAAAGGCGCTACTTGGAGACACTGCTTATTGGGATTGTAAGCTTGCTAAAAACATGACAGGGACCTAACCTAACCTTGTATCCCATCTAACCCTTGGGTACAAGATTAACAATCGCAAGAGCAGCAGTTAACAGCTACCATATGCTATCTGTCTGCTCTGTATACCACTAGGATAAATGCCTTATGCATATTAATGATGCCTATTCATTCATTTATTAATTCATGCATTCCTCCCTAGGACCCTCTGAGAGGACAAAAGTTTTGTCCTGATCAGGGTATGCTAACGGAATTGCTGAAGAAAAAATATTTACAGTACACTTTTTGTTTCTCCTCACTTGTGAGGCCTCTTGACTTTGGGTGAGGGACACGAGAATATGGGGCATGGCATGTTCAAGAGGTGTGTGCCCCGATGCCACCACACTGCAGAAGAACGCACGCAGGCTGGCATTCACATTATGAATATTCAGGTTGACACAGAAATGTCACAAGCCGTAATTCTGAGTGGCCTGCTGTGCATATTGTATGACTGTTTTGTTGCGTTGTGGTTAATAATTGAAATGTGTTCTCAAGTGCAGAAAGGAGCTGGCATTTTTGAGCATTGGGTGAAGTCACTGTCTTTGACAAGACCATCATATGTGGGTGGTGGTTCAAGTCCTGACTGCTCTACTTCCTTTCTGCCTGGGTAAAGTCGTGGAGATAGCTAAGGTGCTTGGGTTCCTGCCAGGCATGTGGGACACTTGAACGAAGCTCCTGGCTCATGGTTTTGGCCTGCCTCAGCCAGTTTGCTGTTATCGAAACAAATGATATCACTACTACAGAGTGAGAAACCAGAGATGGCTTCCAGAGCTAATCAAATGCAAGAAATGAGCTGCATGAAATGCAGGTGGAAGGAGTAAGGCTGCAGCCCAGGGGTAGCTGCTGTGATTCTGTCTGAACTTACCTCTGCTACTAAACCCCACACAAGCCCGCACAAGTCTGCGAGTGCCCAGCCCCTCCCATGCTTATGGTCCATGTTTGAGATGGACTATGAAAAGAATCAAATTGAACCTGAGTTCTCAACAGATATGCAGAGTAAGAACTGAGCCAGATGGGATCAAAGTGGCATGTATCCATTCCCAGAATTCAGAAGGCTTTGGACCTTCCTAAGGGGAATAAAATTCAGAAATGCTTTGGAACTAAAACTTCTACACACAAACCACTGCATGCTATTGGATGGACACGCATGTTTCAATTCAATGGAAAAAGGGAATAAATATTGGAAATGTGGAGGTTGAGGTTAGGGTCCAAAAGGTTCTGCGAGCCTCTCATATATCAGTGCTGGCTCCAGTTTGGCTGCTCTGCTTTCCATCCAGCCTCCTACCAATGAGCCTTAGAAGCCAGCAGAGGATGCCCAAGTGCCTGGACTCCTGCCACCCATGTGGGAGACCTGGATAGAGTTTCTGGCTCCTGGCTTCAGCTTGGCCCAGTCCTGGCCATTGCAGCCATTTGGGGAATGAACCAGCAGATGAAAGACCTCTCTCTCTCTCTCTCTCTCTCATTGCCTCACAAATAAATAAATCTTATATGAAATAATTATTGGGAAAGTGGGGAGTTCATGTCTCTAGTTGAGATTTGTCTTTGAATGTTGGAGTGGGAAGTTTTAAAGAAAGCAATGGTAACAGGGTTCACGTGGAAGCCCTACTTGAGCGCAGCCTTCAGGAAATTTACTGCTCGGGCAGAAACCCTCTCCGTTCTGCCAGTGTCCAACACAAACTCTTTCTGAAGACAAGCAGAAGCCCTCTTGGAAATGCTGTCATGACAGGGTGGAGGTCCTCCTTCTAGCAATGCAGACATCCGCCTTTCCTGTAATCGGATGGCTGGGCCCTCCTGGGACAGCACACATACCTCCCACCTCTGGGTCCTGCCTTCCTCCTCTACCCTTACCCTCCTCCCCACCATCAACAGGTCCACATTTGGTCAGAAATGATGACAAAATGCTAAAGGACTCACCACTCGAAGTCCCAGTCGGCACAGACGCAGGGTTCTGAGACCACAGACCCCGAGCTCTCCCGGCCCAAGGCACACTGAGCTCCTGGCTTGCGTTTCTTGAATATTTTCCTCTCTCCCATAACACAGGGCTCTCCCTTTGAGAGAAAAATCCATTGTGAGTGAGGCAGAAAAAAAACACAAAGGAGACCCAGGGAGCTGCTTTCTCGGCAGGGTGCGTTAGCCAACCCATCCTCTTGTAGTCAGTCTCTGTGGCAATCTCACTCCCAGAAACAACTGGGGGATTTGAGAATAAAGGCATTCAGCTTTCACTACCACATGAAAGGGACACTGGCCCGCTGTCATCCTCTACCCTGCCAGGCCACTGATGTTCAGATACTCTTGTTTCTTCTCCTTCACAGAAAATGCAAAGGCTCCACCTTTTCTCCAGGTTACCAGGAAACTGCCCGAGTAGCTCCAGCTGCAACTCTTACAGAAATAAGCCCAGTACTGTAACGGTTTCCACATCATCTTCAGAGTCAAAACTGAATTTCAGCCACAAAGTTCTACCTCTATGGCAAAGACTCATGTTCACCTCCTCCTAATCTCCAGTCAAGGACAAATAGGAGGAAAACGCACGCAACTCACAAGGCCCCAATGGACCTGAAGAGTGCAGGTTTCCTAGGTTTCAAAGAAACAGCTACTTGTCATTATGAGACCCAATTCATCCCTTCCTTCTTTATTGTGGGTCATATTCTTGAGGCCCTGGGGCCCTTATTGCACACTGGCCTGAGTTACACTTTAACTTTCACACAGGAAGGTTAAGATGCACACATCATTGAAGAGGATCCTAGCTACCTGATGTTCATGTAGCATGGACAGAGTTAAATGCCCAAAGTATTGGCATCAACTCTATCCCAGGCATGTCATTAACCTCAAAGAGTCTATAGGATCCCAGAGTGCAAAATGGTCCCAGAATATTACCTACTGGACCTGGGTGTGTCAAGACCTTCATTCCAAATCCAAATCTACATGGCCCACCATCTTCCTCTCCCTAAGACGGGAAGATCTCGATGAGAATAAATTGGGCTGTGAATGTTTTTCCCTTCTCCACTCTGGACTGTACCTGATTGAGCAGGTGCCAGGTTTGATAGTCCTCCTTGGTGCAGCGACGGCTGAAGATAGATTTGTAGTCCACTTTTACCAACTGCCATTCAGAGCGCAGGCTGAAGTGGCCAAAAACTCTAAGTGATTAGGGAAGGGGTGAGAGAGAAAAGTGGAGAAGACCCCAGAGTCAGTTACCCATATTCAAACACGGTGGGGGAGGAGGAGACGAGGATTTCAGTGTAGTTTGGATTTCACCTGTTCTTCCATGTAAGAGTTCCTTGAAGACCATGAAGGAGAAAGCCTGTTGTTCACGCTACTCCAGGTAAATGGCAGGACACAGTTTGCTTTAAATCAACCTTTTTTTTACACTGTAAAATTTTAGATGGTATTCCAAAAAAGTTCATGGAACATACGTTTAAAAAATAAGTTCGTTTTGTTGCAAACATTCATCACTAGTTTTTTTTTTCATACTATGCAATTTTTATGAATTCTTTGAAGATCCCTAACTGGTATGAACTTTCAAAAGTTTAAACCAAAAAAAACCCCGTGTTTTTCTTGGTTGTGTGAAAGGCAATGAAATAGAAAAGACAGACAGACAGACACAGAAAGTTTTAATGCTTCACTTCCCAATGAGTGTCCTCAACAGCCCCTGATTGCAGGCAAAGACAGGTTCCAGATTTCCACTGAAGCTTCCCATACAGGTGGCAGTGGGGCTCAACTGCTTCAGCCATTACTCCTGCTTTCCCAGGTCTGCATTTGAAAGCAGTGGAGTCAGGAGCTAGAGGCAAGATTTAAAACTAGGTACCCCAATATATGATGTGGGCATGTCACCCACATAGACCAAATATCACCCCCCCCCGCCCAACTTCCAGCCAATTAATTGCATTATAGACTAATCAACTGCATTCCAAATGTGATTTCCTGAAATATCTTCACACGCATTTTACAGAAAATATTTAAAATACACAAAGCCCAGAAAAAGAAATCACTCAACAGAGAAAATCTGCCACCCTAATAAAACCTGTGTTAATAGTTGGACGCACAGCCTCCCTGTATCTCCTTAATGCCAATACTGGCGTTCTATCTGTCTGTATCCTGACACAGACTTCACGTCCTCATCCATAAAGTAGACTGTATATGTGTGTGTTGTGGGAGGGAAGGTGGGTCAGCTGGTCTATGAGTCAGCCAATTCCGACGGAATCTAAATGTGTTTTCTTTGCAATTCCCACTACTTAATTCATAAGAATATCCAACCTTTTCTCTGCTTTCTTGAAAAAAAAAATCAGAAGTTTCATAAAGGAAAGTCATACTTCTGTGTACTCAAGAAGCACACCATCTGCATGACTTAGATAATCAATGCTGACCTTTTCAAAGCCCAGCAATTGATAGCCCTATAAATATGAATGATCCATTGCTTCTAGAAAAATAGAAAAAAACCCCACTGATCATCCATACTCCACTCAGGCAGCAGCAGGTCTTGCAATTACGATGCAGGACATCTATCACGCTGATGGGAAAGAGGGACTGACCATGCAGGGAGCTTAAAACAACTGGAGTCTTGCAAGGAATTGGACGGCTCCATGATAACACTATTTAAATCACTCTACCAACCCTGGATGCCCCTTGGCCTGAGTCTGCGTATTTTACTGTGACGCTGAAAACAGTAGCTTTCTCCACGGGACATTTCCTTGTGCCTTTAGAAAGAGAGTATGCCCATGAGGGGGTGGGAAGGAGACTGACAAAACGTGTGCAATGGTAAATAAACAAGATTGTTTGAATAGATCACACAACTTAAAGAATTCCTTAGGAAACAATTTGGAATATGCTGTTAGGCAAAATACAATTTTGTAGAACCTTCTAAAAGAATATTAAACAAATGTTGAGGGTATCTCCTTGCACCCAAGAGGGAGACCTGAAAGAAGTTCCTGGCTCCCAACTTTGGATAGGGTCAGTTCTGGCTCCTGTGGTCATTTAGGGAATGAACCAGCACATAGAAGAGCTCTCTCTGTCTTTCCTTCCCCCTGCATGACTCTGCCTTTCAAATAAAAATAAAATAAATACTTTTAAAAAGTGTCTATGTAATATGCTCAATATAAGTAAATACTTCCCATAAATTTAAAATATTTAAGATGATCTTTAAATACATGAGCAGGATTGTACACATCATCTAGAACCAAGGAGGCACTAGCCTGATCTATTTTTTTAAGATTAAAAAACATTTTTTTTTTAAAGTCAGGTTGACGGTGAGGCGATACAGAGAGAAAGATCTTCCATCCACTGATTCACACTCCTAGTGGTTGCGAAGGCTAGAGTTGAGCTGATCCAAAGTCAGGAGATGCTACCAGGTCTCCGAGGGATCAAGGTTCCAAGCTTTGGGCCTGTTCTCTGCTTTCCCGGGGCACAAGCATGGAGCTGGATGGGAAGTAGAGCATCTGGGATAGGAAGCGATGCCCATATGGAATCCTGGTGCACGCAAGTTGAGGATTAGCCACTAGGCTACTGGACAGGGCCCTATTTGGTCTATTTTACATCATCCAGATCACAAAGTTGTGGCTAGTTATGGATGCTACCATCCAAGAAGGTATTAAGTTTTTCTATCTAACAGTACAGGGTAGGCTTTGATGTGGGTGGTAGATTATGGAGTCCATGCAATTTTAAACAAAAAACATGTGCTCACTGGAGCATGTATTTTCATATCTGAAATTTTCACAAAAAAGTTTCCCAAAGTTTTTGAACCATTAAAAAGAGTGACTCAGATGGTACACCAGGTGGAATGGTGGCCTCCAATAAGATATGGTGATTACATCCCATTCCCTGGATCCATGAAGGCGACTATATTTGGGGGAAGGGATTTTGTAGATGCAAATAAGGATCTCAAGGTGAGATCATTCTGGCTTAACAGGCTGAGTCCTAAACCCAATTCTAAGTATCCTTCTTAGTCACACAAAGTGAGGTTTGCGTTGATGAGAAGATCATGTGAAGACAGGCAAAGTTAGAAAGATACAGCCACAAGTTGAAGAATACTTGGCAGTTCTGGAAAATGAAAGCAGCAACTCCCCCCAGAAAGCAGCAAACCCCCTCCTGAGATGCAGAGGGCGCACAGCCCCATGAGACCATTTATTTTGGTCTGTGGCCTCCAAAGCGGTAAGGAATTAAACGTTCTTTTAAGTCACCTAATTTGTTGCAGTAGTTGCAGAAACCACCATGGATGACAACAGCACTTTTCATCTACCCAAGGAACAGGACAAGAGCTATGGCTGTTCAACTGGATATGATTTAGGAAGCACTAGGAAGGCAAGAGTTGGAGTGTTTTCTTGACTGTAAAAACAGAACAAAAAAATAAAAGTTTACAAAGTACAAGATAACTTCCTAACAGATTGTGGTAGAGAAGCAAGAAATGTTCAAGAGTTAGAAGTACAGAACTTCAGGTTGAGATGCCATCATTTCCCAGGGCTGATTCTGAACAGGAAGCAAGCACCATTTCAGGTACACAGCCTCATCGACCTCTATGTCTCTAAGGGTTATCTTGGCTGTTGGTCTTCCCAATGCTTTGAGATATCTGTTTCTGAATATTTTGTTCTGTGTCATTTTAGACTGAACAGAAAAGTAGGTTCCCGGTCAGTACACGTGAACTCCATCATATTCTGTTTTGCAACATTGGCAGGTGTACCTCTTTTACTTACATTTCTTTAGTTTCTATTCCAGATTTTCTTATCTTGTGTTTCCCAAGGATTTTCCTGAACTATTATAAATCGATACACAAATATTTTCACTCAGGAATGAGCTAGTCGACTTTCCTATGTCACACACTAAATTTTAATCATTCACATGCTGCTACGATTATGAGCTTTGTTCAGTTCCTCAATGGACTCCAACAAAGGTCTGAGGACTGAAACCCCTTGCTAATTTTTAGGCATAAATGTTCTCCCATATTTACATCCACTTTCAGTTCTGTAAAGACCAAAGTTCTTTGTTGGTCCCTGAGCATTCATGATTCAGACACATGGTGTATCTAGTGTATACATCTGGCTTCTGTAATGCTGCTCAATATCACACTCACACTTTGTTCTTCCAACCGGAGCTATGGAAGCAGAAGAAACCACACAGAAAAATGAGGAGATAAAGAATCATTCACAGTCAACTGACTTCCTTCTCTTTTCAAATATCCATGGGGCATTTGCTAAAATTCTCAAGAAGAGCTGGTGAAGTGAGGTCCCAACAGAGAAATCAGGATGACCATCAACAGAGAGCATATCCATCCATTCCTATAAAGTAAGAAACACCGAGAAGCTTCACTTGATCCTAAACTGGGAAAACAGAAATCTCAGATTAATACTATCTAATAATAATAATTAGTATCAAGTCCCCAGATTTGGCAGCTCATTGGAGCCTATGGAGGACATCTAGTACCATAGCAGAAGGAACAGGGCAGAACAAATTGGTTAACTAACCCTAGCAAAGCTTGACAGCAAATTTCTGGGTAAACAGAAGCTCAAACGTGGACTAAGTCAGCCAAGGGACCTTAGAAGGATGTGCTCATCCTTGGATCTGAGAGATGAACAGCACGTCAGAACTTCTCAGACCACCTGAGCAGAACCCTCAGAACAAGCTCCACATTGAGGACCCTGAGATGATGCGAGGTGGCCCTCCCCATCCCTGGGTACTGAGGTGGTTGGGAGGCTAAGCGTGGCTCCTCCTCTTATCTCCTCCTTCCCCAAATCTGGGAAGAAGCAAAAAAAAAAAAAAATGTGGAAATTATGGTTTCATCCACTTTCCTCTCATTCTTGACTCCTCCCATCCTAATAATCTACGTAGACATTATCAAAATAAAATTTAATTTTAAAAAATATGCACATTTTCAGAAAACAATTTCTAGAAGAAAGAGCCTGTTGCCCACAAAGTAGGCAGAGCATACTGCTCTAATTGTGGCACCTTTTCCAGGGGTTGCGGGGGGTATGGGGGGGCGCGGGTGGGGGGAGGGAAGGGGAGGCAAGAGAGCAAAGATGGAAATCTGAGAGATGAGGTGAAGGGGAGGAACGAAAAGCCTAGAACATCTTTGAAAAGATAATATGACATCCACATTAGCACATCATCTTCTGTTTCTTTGAGAAAACAAGGATTCTTTGCAGCACTGGAG